TGGCTGCATTTATTGTTGCTAAAACTTTGTTGTTTTTAGATTTGATTGTGCGAGAAGGCACAATGTTTCCACCTATGCCTCCATCTTGGCGGAAGTCCTTGGTGTTTTTCTTTTCATTTCCACTGTGACCTTTATAATTTCAGGCTTTCATTGCTTCATATCTTAACTAGTATTATAGCTAACACCTGACTTTCAAATTCTACCTTTCTGCTGATCCTTCAACCTTCTGCCAAGTGAATCCTAAAAGTTTGTTCTGCTCATGTCATTCCTTTGCTTAAAAACCTGCAGTCACAGCTCATAGACTAGCAAATAAAGTATAAACACCCTTGTCTAGCTTTAAGGCTCTGAGATGTAGTCCTGCCTGCACCAACAATCTTCACTTCTTTTACAATTGTTATATATCTTGACTCATATTAGACAACTGGCCATTTTCTAAACATAGCCCTCACTTTAATTTCCTTGAATATATTTGGTACATATCTATTATCTACTATCTACTACATGCCAGGCACTGTTCCAGGTTCTAGGGACACACAGATGAAAAAGGCAAGGTCCCTCTCATCTTGGAGGCCACATCCATCTTCGATGTCCTTTCTCCAAACATTGAGATTCTATCTATCTTTAAAGTGTAGTTGAAATCCCACCTTTCTTATGACTGTGGTGACACCCCAAGCCCAAAGTTTACTCTTTTTACTTTGGTTTCCCACAGTTCTCTATTTATTCATTTAGTTATTCTGAGGGGAGAACTAATCACATTCTGCCTTATATTTTAAGTGTTTATTTTTATTTTTTTAGTTGTTTTTCTTATTTTTAACTTTATTAAAGAATAATTGACAAATACAATTGTATACAGTCATGCACTACAAAATGACAGGCATATGTTCTAACAACTGCATTGTTAGATGATTTTGTCATTTGTGCAAACATCATGAAGGCACTTGCACAGACCTAGATGGTGTAGTCTACTGCACACTGGGCTAACATGGCACAGCTTATTACTCCTGGGCTACAAGCTGTATAGCATGTTACTGTACAAAATAACACCAGGTTAAGGCATCATAATGGCTACAGTGTCACTAAGTCATAGAAATTTTTCAGCTCCATTACAATCTTATGGGTCCATCATTCTATATGGTCCATGGACTGCATATATGACTGGTATTTGAAGTGTGCTTCGTGATCTTCTGGCCAAGATGGAGGTGTAGGTAGACACACTACCTCCTGGCACAACCAAATGAAGGACAACGACAAATTTAAAAACAGAAAACAACCAGAACTGCCAGGAAATCAAACTGTATGGAGTTCAACAACTAAGGAATTAAAGAAGAAATATTCATCCAGACTGGTAGGAGGGCTGGAAATAAGCAGCCACTGCTACCTACAGACAGACAGCCTATGCAACTTCTTTATGCAAGTTATACTTCTCCAACTGACCCCCAGGCATACTGTCAGCCTGTCCAGGGGTATGGCACTGGTGCTTATGATACCACCACTGCTACGGTCACTACCACCCAGGCCTCCTATGCAGCTCGGTCTGCATATGGAACTCAGCCTGCTTACCCATCCTACGGGCAACAGCTGGCAGACATGGCACCTGCAAGACCACAGGATGATAACAAACCGCTGAGACTAATCAGCATCAATCTAGCACAGGGAGCCACAACCAACCCAACCTGGGATTTGAACAGAGTAATTACAGTTATCCCCAGGTACCTGGGAGCTACCCAATGTAGCTAGTCACAGCACTGCCATCTTATCCTACCAGCTATTCCTCAACACAGCCGACTAGTTATGATCAGAGTAGTTATTCTCAGCAGAATACCTATGAGCTGCTGAGCAGCTATGGACAGCAGAGTAGCTGTGGTCAACAAAGCAGCTATGGGCAGCAGCCATCCACTAGTTACCCACCCCCAAACTGGATCCTATAGCCAGGCTCCAAGTCAATATAGCCAACAGAGCAGCAGCTATGGGTGGCAGAGTTCATTCCAACAAGAACATCCCAGTAGCATGGGTGTTTATGGGCAGGAGTTTGGAGGATTTTCTGGAGTAGGAGAGAACTGAAACATGAGTGGCCCTGATAACCAGGTCAGGGGAAGAGGGGGATTTGATTGTGGAGGCATGAGCAGAGGTGGGCAGGGAGGAGGTTGCGCTGGAATGAGCAGTGCTGGAGAGTGAAGTGGCTTTAATAAGCCTTATGGACCTCTGGATGAAGGACCAGATCTTGATCTAGGCCTACCTGTTGATCCAGATAAACATTTTGACAACAGTGCAATTTATACACAAGGATTAAATAACAATGTGACTCTAGATGATCTGACAGACTTCTTCAAGCAGTGCAGAGTTGTTAAGATGAAGAGAACCAGGCAACCCATGATCCATATATACTTAGACAAGGAAATGGGAAAGCCCAAAGGTGTCCTACAGTGTCCTATGAAGATCCATCAACTTCCAAGGCTGCTGTGGAGTGGTTTGATGGGAACCACATAGCAAACTTAAAGTTTATCTTCCTCAAAAGAAGCCTCTGATGAACAGCTTTGGGGGGGGGGAGTTTTGACGACCTGAGAGGACAGAGGGATGCTGCCACTGCTCTGTAGAGGTCCAGGGGGCCCAGGAGGTCCTGGGGCTCCAGTGGATCTCATAGGAGGCCCTGCCAGAGACAGAGGAGGCTTTCCTCCAAGAAGACCCTGGGATTCCCAAGGGAACCCATCTGGGGGACGAAATGTCCAGCACCAAGTAGGACACTGGCAGTGTCCCAATCCAGGGTGTGGAAACCAGAACTTTGCTTGGAGAACAGAATGCAGCCAGCGTAAGGCCCGAAGCCTAAAGGCTTCCTCCTACCACCTTTTCCACCTCTGGGTGATGACCATGTCAGAGGTTCCTCTGGTGGCATGCAGGGACTGTGGTGGTCCCGGTGGCATGTTCAAAGGTAGCCATGGTGGAGACAGAGGTGGCTTCTGTGTTGGCCGGTTATTGGACTGAGGTAGCTTTGATGGATGAAGACAAGGTGGCCCTGGAGGTCCTCCTGGACCTTTGATGGAACAGATGGGAGGAAGATGAGGAGGGCATGGAGGCCCTGGAGAAATGGATAAAGGTGAACACCGTCAGGAGCGAAGAGACCGACACTACTAGATGCAAGGATGCCACAGAGCTGCATTGACTACCAGATTTATTTTTAAACGAGAAAATGTTTTAAATTTGTAATGTTTATAATGTTGGTCACAACATTATGATTATTCCTTGTCTGTATTTTAGTATGTCTCACCATTTGTGAAGAAACATTAAAACAAGTTAAATAGTAGTGTGCTCAGTTGGGTGTTTTTTTTCCTTTTAAAGATGGTTGTTTAAGACTAAATGATGGGAACCCCTTGTGAGCATGCTCAGTATTATTGTAGAGAACCAAGAGGGCCTCTAACTAATTGTAACAATGTTCATGGTTGTGATTTTTTTTAATAAAATTCCAAATGTTTATAAACAAAAAAAGAGAAATATAAATGGTAGGTACAAAATAGACATGGGGAGGTTAGGAATAGTATGGGAAATGGGGAATCCAAAGAACTTGTACGTATGACCCATGGACATGAACTAAGCAGAGGGGAATGCGGGTGGGAGGAGGGGTGCAGGGTGGAGGGGAATAAAGGGGGGGAAATGGGTTAACTGTAATAGCATAATCAATAAAATATATTTAAAAGAAAAAATAAAATATGCTTCATGATGATTTGATATATATATACATTGTGGAATGATTACCAAATCAAGATAATTAACACATCCAAAGAAGACATACAAAAAGCCAACAGGTATTTGAACAGGTTTTCAACATCACTGACCACCAAAAAAAAATGCAAATCAAAACCGCAATGAGTATTTACTTTTCTTAATTTTTAATTTTTCAATTAGAGTTGACAAAGTATTATATTAGTTTCAGATGTGCAACCCAGTGATTAGACATTATGTAACTTGAAGTGATCACCCTAATAAATCTAGTACCTACATGATACCATACATAGTTATTACATTATTACTGACTATATTCCCAATGCTATACATATTTTTCTTAAAAGATTCCTGGGCAGCTTGAAAGCACAGACTGTTTTTTCATCTTTATATTCTCCATACTGCTGAGCACAATTTATTATTAATAATAGTTCAATATTTATTTGTTTTGTATATGAGTAAGCAAATGCACCTGGGACCCAGAGTTATCCCAGGCATCTGTTAGAAGCACTGACCTGTTCTCAGTGTTCTTTCCCTGGGTTCCAGAATATAATTTCTAAGTTTTATTGACCCTCATGCAACTATCACCTAGTCATTTAAATCTACAACATTTAGATGTTTTAATATTCAGGGTATTTGGGAAATTTTTATATGGTATATAACCATAAAATTTAATATAATATCCTAATCAAAGATGATCATTTTAATACAACATAAACTTAATAGTTTAATTAGTTCATACACTAATCATTCTAATACAGACTTTATAAACTTGTCTATTGTGTTCTTTCCCTTTCCTAGAAAAGTGCTATAGCACTGGCTGGTGTAGCTCAGTGGATTGAGCGCGGGCCTGCGAACCAGAGTATCGCGGTTCGATTCCCAGTCAGGGCACATGCCTGGGTTGCAGGTCATTTCCCAGCAGGGGATGCATGAGAGGCAACCATACATTGATATTTCTCTCCCTCTCTCCTTCCCTTCCCCTCTAAAGATAAATAAATAAAATCTTTAAAAAAAAAAAGAAAAGTGCTATAATGATAACCTAGGTACAGCTTTTTTTTTTTCTGTCAGTGGCTTATAGAAGTTATTTTGGTCTCTAAACAAGCCTTACAGTACATAAGGCAAGTGTTTTCCCTACTTTATCTATGAAGAAACTAAAGGACAGAGAAGTTACATAGTTCACAAGAAGTTAAAAGCTATTACTGAATAAGTCCAGACTAACTTAATATCATGAGCAGAACTGTGTGTTTTTCATTACTTTAAAATAATTATGTTTTTTTTTTCTTTAGTGAAAGAAATGATGTCTTAAGAGAAGCTGAAATTTTACACAAAGCTAGATTTAGTTACATTCTTCCTATTTTGGGAATTTGCAATGAGCCTGAATTTTTGGGAATAGTTACTGAATACATGCGAAATGGATCATTACATGAACTCCTACATAGGGTAAGTCTTGTATACTTTCAGTGGCTATAATTCTGTGAATCAAGCTATATAGGGCTTTAGTTTTACATATGATCAACTTCTTTGGGTAAATATAGATGAATCAAAATAAGAATAATGAAAAACAATAGCGGTTGTAAAGTTTCACCATTTACGGCTTCTTTTGTGTTGTTAAAAATTACGTGGAGTCAGGGCTTGTATTCTGAGGGACCTAGATTTTTTGCTTAGGTGACTGTTCCTTAATTTTACACTGAATTGCCTTATCCACATGTATATTTACACAGCTAGGTGTAACAGAGAGAAAAGATAAACTCTGCTCTCTGTACAGTCCACTGTTAGGCTGGATTTTACTTTATGTTAATGTCAATTTAGGATTCGAGTTAACTGTTGGTAATACCAGTTTATAAAGTTCTAAATTAATAGGCCAAATAAATCTACCTCTGAATACCAAATGCATTAGCTTTTCCACAATCAACAATGGCATGAGCCATTTACTTTTTTCTCAAGGTCCCAGTTACTCTGGCTTTGACTGTGAATCCCATCAGTAAACCAATTAGGGGCTCTTCATTCTCAAAATATGTGTATTCATCTGTTGTTTGCTTAAGCTGATATTATCTCCAACCTGCAGTTTCTCTCAATAAGTCTTTTTATACCACTCAGTCCATTTAGTGAAAGTTGGCTTAGTTAAAACTGGATAATATAAAGTGTAAAATCCAATTTTTGGGTGCTCCTAAATCCTAATAGGTCAGTGTTCTTTAAGTGAAAAGAAAGAGTGAGTGCCACTGCCAGCCCCTGGTGGAGTGACTCCCTCTTTATGATGTGACCATCTAAAACAGGATGGAGCCTAGTAGCTGATTTCAGTATATGAGATTTGTGTAACCACCACAGCAATCAAGTTGCAAATATTGATTAAGCATAATTTTTCTTTTTGAAAAATAAGTAGAAATATTAATGTTTTCTTCCCATACCTCAGCACCCTAGTAAATATTCAGACACCCAAATTGGGAGCCCACTAGGACTTCTAGAGCCTCCTGTAGGAGGACTACTAACTCCTAGAAAGAATCATGACCAGAAGCCCTTATTTAGAGAGGACTTCTGGCTTTAAAACTACATAATTTTCAGAAAAGTTACCTTTTTACAGATTAATAGATTCAGTTACTCAAGATTCAGTTATTTAAGAAGTACTGTTCAACATGAATATGTGTGTTTCTTTTGGTTTTCTGTATTGCATTATTAGGGTGGGATTTATCTTAAAGTGCCCTCCTCCACCCACACAAAAGATTATTGAAATAAATCAAAATACAATGTAAACACAAAGTATTTTGACCCACTTCCCTGCCAGGTTTATCACTGCATTATAGGTTGACCCATTTACAGAAAAAATTCTCAAGAACAGTTTGGAGCTTTCAGTAGAAATATGCTTTTTCATATCATTTAGAAAAATGTACCTAGTGGCTGGTGCCTGAGGATTCATTGGAGGATCTCCCAAAAATATCTAATTTTTCTGAGTATACTCATTCTCCTGAGATGCTGCATTAATTTTTATGTTCAGAAACATTTATTTTATGAAAGTGCAGATGGATATCACTTGGAAGCACCAAGAAATATGAAGCATTACTTTTAATGTGTCTGTATTATATATGCTTTATAAATTAAGATGATCTTTGTCTCCATAAAATCAAAACCTAATGCTAATTTTTCAATTGGAATGCAAACAAATTAACTATATAATTTAAGGTATGAGATTAATGCTTAGTCAATAAATATAATATGGTCATATTTTTAATTTATGCAATATTATAATACCTTAAGTTATATTTTATATTAATAGGAAAAGTAAAACATTAATTTGAATGACTGATTTGGTATGTACTAGAAACACATTTTGTGTGTGCATGTGCATACACCAACTACTTGATATAAGCCATAGAATGGGGAGATGGGTGTGGGTATAGGTTTATGTGTGTAGGTATTATACAGATTAAAAAATAATTGAAGCTGTGTCAACAGAAGAAAAAGACTTGATATCATGTAGTTGTATTACTAATATAAACTAAAAGGGAATATTAATACTACATATTTATTATTTTTACATTTTTATTTAAAATATTTATTTATAATAAATACTACATATTTATTTATAAAAAGTAAGGAAAATAAGATACAAGTATGTTAATGTCAAATTGATACTTTGTAATCAAAATGAGCACTTTTGGCCAAGATGGAGGCGTAGGTGGAAACACTATGCCTCCTCAAACAACCAAGTTTAAAGACAACAAAGTTTTAGTAACAAAATGCAACCAAAACACAGAAAATTGAACTGTACGGAAGTCAGACAACAAAGAACCCTTCAGCCAGACTGGGCGGAGTCAGTGGCTGGCAGAGCGGGGGTCGGGCAGGAAAAATCTGTGGACTGATCCACGAGTGCAGGCAGTGGTCAGCAGGTCCAAGGCTCCAGGTGGCAATGGGCAGACCCAGTGGGGGCACGAGGAGGCTGGCTGACCGCGGTCACACATTCACACACGCAGATAAACCAGGTGAAGGAGCAAGCAGTGAGACAGACCACGCAGGCTTGGGCCTCAGTGATGGGAATTAAAGCCTAAAAGCACCAGTTGGAAAAACTTCGAGGGTTGAGGTGCCAGGAGAAGCTCCCAGGCTCACAGAGAGTTTGTGGGAGAGACCCACAGGGTCCCGGAGGGTGCACAGGCCCACATACTCGAGACCCGGCACCAGGGGGATGCCAGGTTTGCTTGCAGGAAGCAGCAGAGGGGACCGAAATCTGAAAGAGAGCAGAACGCCATTGCCCCTCTCTGACCCTGCCCCCACATACAGTCACACAGACCAGCAACTGGGTTGCCCCACCCTGGTGAACACCTAAGGCTCTGCCCCTCATACCTAACAGGCGCGACCAGACCAAAACATTTTGGATCACTAACAGCTCAGAGCCCCGGAGCCAATAATTCTAAGCGACCAAGAGATAGCCTACCTATCAGGTGCACAGTTCAAAACACTGGTGGTCAGGATCCTCACAGAACTGGTTGATTTTAGTCACAAATTAGAGGAACACATGAAGGCTAAACTAATTGAAATGAAGGGAAATGCACAGGAAACTAGTAGTGATGGAAAGGAAACTGGGACTCAAATCAAGGGAGTAGACCAGAAGGAAGCAAAAAATGACCAAACAGAAAATAATGAAGAAACAAGAATTCAAAAAAATGAGGAGAGGCTTAGGAACCTCCAGGACTTCTTTAAAAATTCCAACATCTGAATTATAGGGGTACCAGAAGGGGAAGAGAAGAGCGACAAGTGGAAACCTTATTTGAACAAATAATAAAGGAGAACTTCCCCATTCTGGCAAAGGCAATAGACTTCCAGGAAATCCAGGAAACTCAGAGAGTCCCAAAGAAGTTGGACCCAAGAAGGAACACACCAAGGCACATCATCATTACATTAGCCAAGATGAAAATGAAGGAGAGAATCCTAGAAGCAGCAAGAGCTAAGGGGACTGTCACCTACAAAGGAGTTCCCATCAGACTGTGAGCTGATTTCTCAAAAGAGACCTTACAGGCAAGAAGGGGCTGGAAAGGAGTATTCCAAGTCATGAAATCCAAAGAACTACACCCAAGATTGATCTATCCAGCAAAGCTTTAATTTAGAATTGAAGGGCAGATAAAGTGCTTCTCAGATAAGATCAAATTCAAGAAGTTCATCATCACCAAGCCCTTATTATATGAAATGTTAAAGGGACTTAGAAAAAGAAGATAAAAAAGATGAACAATGAAAGGACAGCAAACTCACAGTTATTAACAACCACACCTAAAACAAAAGCAAATTAAGAGGACAGCTAGATCAGGAGTGAACCATAGAAATGGAGATCACGTGGAGGGTTAGCAATGGGAGAAGGAGAAGGGGGGAGAAGGTACAGAAAATAAGTAGCATAGACAGTAGATAGAAAATAGGGAGAGGGCAAGAATAGTAGGGGAAATATAGAATCTAAAGAACTTGTGACACATGGACATAAAATAAAGGGGGAGGAATGGTGGGGGAGGAGTGTGCAGGGTAGAGGGGAATGAAGGGGAGGAAATAGGACAACTGTAATGGCATAATCAACAAAATATATTAAAAAATAAAATAAAATGAGCATATGTTTCGACTTTAGTTTATACTATATATCATCATAGAATGTTTAATTTTCTAAATGGGAATGTAATGATATTTGGCCAGTGATTTTGGTTTTGTTTCTTTCTTGCATATATGAAGAAAACAGAATATCCTGATGTTGCTTGGCCATTAAGATTCCGCATCCTGCATGAAATTGCACTGGGCATAAACTACCTGCACAATATGAATCCTCCTCTACTTCATCATGACTTAAAGACTCAAAATATCTTATTGGATGATGAGTTTCATGTTAAGGTAATTATTTTTTAAAAAGTCTATGATATGTACCTTGTGATTAATAGCTTTAAGAAGGCCTTAGTTATTTTTTCACCTAGCCAACAAAATATCTCTCTGTTTTCCATAGCCCCTAATTCTTTTAATATTTTATTTTGTTTTATTATTTGTGTTGTTGTTGAAGTACAGTTGTCTCCATTTTCACACCACACCATCCCCCACCCTACTTATCCTCACCTCCCAGCCTTGAACCTACCCCCTTTGGCTTTGTCCATGTGTCCTTTATACATGTTCTTGGTGGTCCTTTCTCTATTATCCCTCTCCCCCCTCCTCTCTGGTTACTGTCCATTTGTTCCTAATTCTTATCTTCAGTGTCCCTTCTTCCTGCCCTAATGGCTTTAGTTATTCCTAGACCAGAGAGATAGACACAATTATAGGACAAAATACAAAGTCATTATGTTTTAACCGAAATTGAGGAGTACACCTTTCTTTACTTTTACTTTGAAATTATAGATTCACAGGAAGTTGTGAAGGTAATGCAAAAAGGTTCCATGTACCCTTCACCCAGTTTCCACCAATAGTTACATCATACATAACGATAGCACAATTCAAAACCAAGAATTTGACATTAATACAATGCATATATGTAATTCTGTGTCTCTTTGTCACCTGTGTAAATCTGTATAATCAACCAATCAAGATACAGCACTACCCCACACCACAAAGAGCACTCAGGCTACTCCTTTCAATCACACTTGCTTATTGCCCTTTACCATCCCTGGCTCCTGGAAACCACTCATCTGTTTTCCATCTCTGTAATTTTGTCATTTTGAGAATGCTTTATAAATAGACTCATATAGTGTGTGGTATTTTGAGATTGCCTTTGTTTATTTAGCATAATGCCTTTGAGATCCATCCAAGTTGTTACACCAATAATTATTCTTTTTATTGCTGAATAATATTCCACAGTATGAGTATACCCCACTTATTTAACCATTCACCTATTGAGAGACACTTTGGTTATTTCCAGTCTTTGGCAATTATTATAAAGCTCCTGTGAACAATACTGTGCAACTTTCTGAATGAATATCAATTTTAATTTCCTGGGATAAATGCCCAGCTGTTTAGTCACATGGTAAGGGCATTCTTAGTTTTTAAGAAACTATCCAACTATGTTCCAGAGAGGCTGTACCATTTTATATTCCACCAGCAATGTGTCATAGACCTAGCTTTTTCACATCCTCACCATCATTTGGCATTACCACAGTTTTTATTTTAGTTCTCCTAGTAAGTGTATACTAAGATCTCATCATGGTCTTAATTTGCATCTTCCTAATGGCTAATTATGAATGGCTATAGATGTATCATCTATATGTCCTTTTCAGTGAAATACCTCATTATGTTTTAAGCTGTTTCCTAATTGAATTTGGGGGATTACTGTTGAATTTTGAGAGTTTATATATTTTCTTGATATGAGTCCTCCATCAGATATGTAGTTTGCAAATATTTTTCTCCTGATCCATAGCTTGTTCTTTTCATCCTTTGAACAAGGTCTTTCACATATTAAAACTGTTAACTTTGATGAAATCCAACTTACCATTTTTTTCTCTTACAATCTTGCTTTTGCTGTCATGTCTAAGGACTCTTCATTAAGCCATAGGTATTAAAGGTTTTCTGTTACCTTCAAAAAGTTTTGTAATTTTATGCTTTTCTACTAATTTTTTTACTTTGAATTAATATTTGTGTAAAAGATTTGAGTATGTTAAGGCAGTAGATAGTAGTGATTTCAGTTACCCTACATCTAACTAATGACAGCAAATAAGAAGTAGTTGCTGAGTAATTAATACTAAACGTAACTCACTTTATTTTTACATACTATTTTGCTACATTTTTTACAATGAAGTACATAATTGAAGATTATTATAAATATCAAAAATGTTCAAAGAGATAATTAATAGGGAAGTAAGAATAATAGAAAATTAATACACCAATTTTGAGAAAAATTAAGGAAAAAAATAAACCTTTACTGAAGGTACTTCCTCTTCCTAGAATAAAATGGGAGAGGAGAGGAAAAGGAAGCAAGCTGCTGCCTCATTATTGCTAGAAAGAGAGACTAATCTATGTCATCAGTGTAGGGAACCCTACAGGTGGAAGTTCCTTAGCAGTCACTTACTCCCCTGGGTCCTCACTGCAACAATCTCCCCCCTCCCAAGGCAATTATCCTATGGCAGGGGAGTCAACATGCATGCTTGAATGACTGTGACATTTTCTTATGTGATCACCCAAAACTCCTCTGTGTAATAAATTGAATCAGTCCAAATCTGCTTCTACAGGACAGTTCTTTCGATATTTGAGGATGGCTACAGCCTGCCCCTCACTCTCTTGTGTTATGGCCTTCTCCTTGCCAACCAGTTTCCTCATGACATGGGTTTTAATCCCAGACCCTATCTGTATTCTATTCATATAGCATCCCACAGATGCTATATGAATCTGTTTCAGTCTCTCTTAAATTTTACCATCTAGTCCTAAATACTTTACTTAATAGTTCCTTAATAATTCATCAACTTTTGGGAGACACCCACATGACAACACTCAAATTGGGCTTAGTGTCAACAAAAAGTCCTGAGATGTTCTTCTTTTCGTGTATTGTTGCTTAAGCCACATGTTCTGATGTGCTTTGCAGAAAACTTTTTGGACATCAGCAGTTTTATCTTGTTAGACTAGAGCAATTCACCTTTTAAGACCTTTTTGAATGTTATTTCTCTATTCCATGGGTTTTAAGTTCCTTCCCAGCTTTGTATCATCCTAAAATTTAATTAGGCATTTTTTCATATATTTGAGTCATGACTAAATATTAACTGTGCAGAGCCCAGGTCAGAGCTGCACTACCTGATGCTAAGAATCTCCCTCAGGTCCATGTCATCATCACTGTTCAAAGACAATTACTGTTTATTAGGAGTACTCTTAAAAGAATTTTTTTAAAGTTCATATTTCCTTACCTTGTACATAAGAATATTATGAAAGTCTTTGTTTGAATGTTTTCCCAGACATCCTCATGACTCATTCCCTCTATATATTTAGCCTCATTTCCAGATGACTGTCCCTAGACCACCCAGCCAGTTCCTCTCTACCATCATGCCTCAATTTATACTTCTACCTACTATTTTTCACCAGCTGACATAACATTTTTATTAATATATTTATCGACCATCCCCCCTAGTTGGAAAGTAAGCTCCATGAAGATAGAAATTTAGTCTATTTTATTAACTGCCATATACTCAGCATGTGCCATATTCATGCTATTCAATAATCTGTTGATCTATATGTGCCAGATAGGCCTACTAGTTTTGTAATCAAGTATGTTATTATTAAAGTACCTCAAAATGTTTTATGTATACGAACTGTTTTTACACTTACTCTTCAACAGTAGTAATACTGTCAAAAAGGAAATGAAGTCAGTCATTTTTTTTATTGATTATGCCATTACATTTGTTCTATTTTCCCCTCCCATTCCCCTCCACCCTGCAAACCCCTGCCCCACCATTCCCCCCCTTTAGTTCATGAACACGTGTCTCAAGTTCTTTAGATTCTCTGTTTCCCCTACTATTCTTACCCTCCCCCCTATTTTTTATCTACTGTCTATGCTACTTATTTTCTGTACCTTTTTCCCGCTTCTCCTTCTCCCACTCCCCTGTTGCTAATCCTCCACATGATCTTCATTTCTATGATTCACTCCTGATCTAGCTGTCCTTTTAGTTTGCTTTCGTTTTAGGTGTGGTTGTTGATAACTGTGAGTTTGCTGTCCTTTCACTGTTCATCTTTTTTATCTTCTTTTTCTTAGGTAAGTCCCTTTAACATTTCATATAATAAGGGCTTGGTGATGATGAACTCCTTGAATTTGGTCTTATCTGAGAAGCACTTTATCTGCCCTTCAATTCTAAATGAAAGCTTTGCTGGATAGATCAATCTTGATTGTAGTTCTTTGGTTTTCATGACTTGGAATACTTCTTTCCAGCCTCTTCTTGCCTGTAAGGTCTCTTTTGAGAAATCAGCTCACAGTCTGATGGGAACTCCTTTGTAGGTGACAGTCCCCTTAGCTCTTGCTGCTTCTAGGATTCTCTCCTTCATTTTCATCTTGGCTAATGTAATGATGATGTGCCTTGGTGTGTTTCTTCTTGGGTCCAACTTCTTTGGGACTCTCTGAGTTTCCTGGATTTCCTGGAATTCTATTTCCTTTGCCAGAACGGGGAAGTTCTCTTTTATTATTGGTTCAGATAAGGTTTCTACTCGTGGCTGTTCCTCTTCCCCTTCTGGTACCCCTATAATTGGAATGTTGGAACGTTTCAAGATGTCCTGGAGGTTCCTAAGCCTCTCCTCATTTTTTTGAATTCTTGTTTCTTCATTCTCTTCTTTTTTTTCTTTTTTAAAATTTTTATTTTTTTTTAATTTTTTTATTGATTATGCTGTTACAGTTGTTCTATTCCCCCTTTATTCCCCTCCACCCTACCCCCCATCCCCACCATCACCCCCTCTTTAGTTTATGACCATGTGTCTCAAGTCCTTTAGATTCTATATTTCCCATGCTATTCTTGCCCCCCCCATCTATTTTCTATCTACTGTCTATGCTACTTATTTTCTGTACCTTCTCCCCCCTTCTTCTCCTCCCACTCCCCTGTTGCTAACCCTCCTTGAGATCTTCATTTCTATGTTTCCACTCCTGATCTAGCTGGCCTTTTAGTTTGCTTTCGTTTTAGGTGTGGTTGTTAATAACTGTGAGTTTGTTGTCCTTTCACTGTTCATGTTTCTTTAACTTCTTTTTCTTAGATAAGTCCCTTTAACATTTCATATAATAAGTGCTTGGTGATGATGAACTCCTTGAATTTGATCTTATCTGAGAAGCACCTTATCTGTCCTCCATTTTAAATGAAAGTTTTGCTGGATAGAGCAATCTTGATTGTAGATCTTTAGATTTCATGACTTGGAATACCTCTTTCCAGCCCCTTCTTGCCTGTAAGGTCTCT